CGTGCCTATTTGTATGATACTAAGAGAATAAAGCATTGGCTTTATAAGATGTTCACCACTAATGATATAATAAATAAAGACAACACATGCTATGTCATGCAAACTATGACATCTTTGTGCTGTAAAGAAATCAAAGGATGAGGTAGCCAGCAAGTTCAGAGGTATTTCTCAATGAAGCTGCTATACATTTACATTTATCGCTAAAGCCATATTCTCAATTTCCATGTGATGAGGCTTAAAAACACTCTCCATTAGGTCCATATTAAAAGTGACTGCCTCATCATATCAGTGAAAAATGGAATGTAAATTTGCCAATGGATCTTTTTCTTTCCAAAATGAATCAGCACCTTCCATGTACTCCAAAGGAAAATAAACACCAGAGCCAAACTGACCCCATAAACTATTATGAGCCCATAGATGATAAATCTCTCAGCCCTTTCTTCAGACTTTTAAATACAATAAGTGTGGGTGGCCTTGAAGGAAGCAAGATTTTACTGAAACACTCTGGCTGCTGTTGTCACAAAGAATACAAAGGTCTCAAATATTCTCTCCTCAGGGAGTCCAAAGGATTCTAATCATTCTCAGTGGCAGAGCTCAGTAAATGAGTTCTTGCTCACTCAGGTAAATGGGCTCTGACCCTCTGACAAGGGGTCAAGAGAAATGATCTGTATGATGCGCAGGTGAAAAGCCGCAAAACGGGCTCCAATGTTGAGCAGTATTTTGGAATTGTTCTTCTACTGTTGCTCATTATTTCCTCAACTGCACTGGAATTTTCAGAATGGATGAGCTGTGTCTACTACAGAGATACTCGTGTGCCCATGCACAAAGCTGTTTTAAAACTCAAATCAACCAGCTAGGCACAGTGGCACACCCCTGTAATCCCAGCAGCTCAGGAGGCTGAGGCAGAAGGATCTTGAGTTCAAAGCCAGCCTCAGCAACAAAAAGACACTAAGCAACTCAGTGAGACCCTGCCTCTAAATAAAATGCAAATTAGGGCTGAGGATGTGGCTCAGTGGTCAAGTGTCCCTGAGTTCAATCTCCAGAACACCCCTCCAAAAAAAAGAAATTCAAGTCAACATACAAATGATGAATGATGTACAGTGAGATGCATTAGGTTTGTGGTATGTGTGTGTGTATGTTCGTGTGTCCCAAATAGCAAAGAATATGTAACCTAATTCAACCTGTGGGGTGCAGAAGAAGGAAGAAAGAAATGAGCTTACATGTTCAAAGTTCTTACTTCAAAATAGTTATAGATGTGTATGAAGAAAAGCCCTGCATTCCCTTCCCCAGGTTCCCTGCGGTGGCATCTGATGTGATTACATGAAGAGCTTTTCTGAAGTTATTTTTGAAATATAGTTTAATGTTTCACATTTAAATCTATGATCCATTTTTAGTTAATTTTTGTAAAAGGTATGAGATTGAGGTTGAGGTCCTTTATTTCTCTTTTTGCCTATAAATATAAAATTTCTCCTGGGATTTGTTTATTTGTATACTTTTCACTCTAAAATTAAATAAATTTTTGCCTTTCCCTTACTCTTCTCCTGGATGATGTAGATGTGCTTAGCAGAGCAGGAATAATTGGGTTCACCTGATAATGTTTTCTTTGTCCTGGAGTTGATCTGATAAAGTCTGAGGAAGTGAACACTCTCTGAATATCTACTGGACCTCCATTTAGACTTGCCTCCAGTTCAGCAAGAGGCTTCCAGTAAGGACATTTCTTCAGTCATGTGCGTGCATGCACACCGTTATCCATAACAGCCAAGATGTTAATGGAACATTTCCTATTCATCATACTTAACCAAATCTAACTTTTTGCTATTTTTGAAAAAACAACTCCACTTCATACCTTTTTAAAAGAAAAGAGAGAGTCCACATCGAAAGGGATGATCTTGAAGGAAGCAACTACTTTTAGTGTCATATAGGTTTCTTGGAAATACGTAAACATTGCTTCATGTTATTTTTCTAGAAAAGTGGTTACATTTAGTTAAACATACTAGGAAAAGTTTACTTGACTAATTTTTTTTCTTTTTAAAAAAATGCTTCCCAGATTTCAGTTCAGTTAGAGATGCCAATTTTATTTCTTAGTCAGAAGAACATAGCTATACAATGAAACTTACATAAAGAAATGGATTACATTCACAGACACACACACATCTAGTTGGACCATTATGAAATATGAAAAAAAAGGTGTTTTTTTTAAAGCTATCAATTTGCACTATTTTTTTTAAGGAGTGGAGAAAGAAATAACAGCAGTTCCATGTTAGAAGCTAAACAGAGAGTTCCATTTCTAATTATTAGGAACACCAAGTCATTCAGGTCATCTTTTTCTTTGAAAGATACTAACTGAACTCTAAAGAAGGGTATTTAAAATTTATTGACTAGCTAACAAAATAGAGGGCAATTATCGGAGTGGAATGTAAGCCTGTAATACAGAGGGTTTAGCCAGGCATACAACAGCTTGGGTCCTGAGGGCACCCGCTTAATCAAGCAAAAGTGAAGTGAGATTTCATGAATACTTCAAAGTTGGAAGACCTGTGCAGAAGTGGGGGCTTCCACAGGAAATCCTCTCCCCATAAAGCTGAGATCAGAAAGAATTGCTCTCTCCATAGACAAGGAACCCCCACCTCTGAAACATAGAGTCAATTCACGGCTTGCAATGAAAGGGCATATCCTAAATCCAATTCAGGGCAGACACAAAACAGAACAGAACAAAGACAAAATGCAAAAACTCCAGCAAAATATATCTTCTGCTGAATGCCGAAATCTGCCCTTCAAATCTGGAATAAGACAAAAACAATCCCTCTGGGCACCCGTATCAGCATCATGCACAAGCGCTTGTGGTGGAGCTAGGTAAGGATGGTGTAGAAAGGAATTCACAGGAGCTGTCTGCATTTCTAGCTTATGGGACTGTGTACATCAAATTGTTTTAATAGTAGAATTAGTAAGAGCCTCTGGTGAGTTCCAAATTTCTGAAGCCCCATGGGTGAGGAGAGAGGGGTCAAAGGTGAAGAGGCAGAGTGGCTCCGGGGCCTTCACTGGAAGGAACTTGGGTTGTCCCAATATGATGGGGAAGTAGGGAGGGATTCTGAAGATGGGAGTCTTTTTGTTTTTTTGAAGAGGCACTTTGTTTGCTCTGGGAAGGCAGCAATATCAGCAGTTGGGAGAGAAGAGGGAAGAAAAGGCTGGGACTGGGCAGAGGGATGAGGCCAAGTCAGGTACAAAAGGTCTAGGAATTGTAAGGCCTGCTGCTCCCCACTGCCTCAGAGGAAGAAATCCAGAAGTATTTTCAAGTTTGTGTTTTAAACAAAAGGCAAATAATGATGTTATTTACAGAAATGAGGAGGGTTGGAGGTAGGACATGTTTGAGGTTAGAGAAAGTTATGTCCATTAAACCTGACATCCGTTAAAAAGTCAAGTGCTGTTATTGAGAAGCCAAGGGCAACCCACCTCTTTTCATTCCTTTTCATTACTATCCCATTCCTCTGTGACCCTCGTTTCCCTTGTCAGACCCCTCATCTCTGTAGGGAATCATGTAGACCAATCAGAACAGAAACCCCCCCCCCAGACTCCTTTAGGACCCACCAATGGCTGGCTTGCCCCTTCTGGGGGGTCCCTAGGGAGGAATACCCCAGTGCTCATCTGAGTCAGTCCCTTGATGCCCAGCCTGGATCCTTTTTCTTGTCACTGCTTTAAGAACATTCCTTTTTTGTCTTCTACATAACTCACTTTTCTCTTTATATTGAATCAATCCTGGTAGCATAAAAAAGAAAAAAAAAACATAGTATAATGTTCCACTATGTCTTTAAAATCACTGTATTTACACAACACCAGCTAATGCCTCAATTATTCTTGGACAGATGAGTAGTCATCCCCCAAAACTAACAGTGGATGGTGTCACAAGGGTGGGGCAGGAGCACACATGGGAGTGAAAATCACACCTGGAAGCAAGAAGCCAGAGAGGGCCTCAGGATCAGGCTCATTCCTACAACAACTTGCTCTTGAGATAGCTCGGGGTCCCAGGAAATCTGCCTCCATCCCTTCCATGGGCAGTTCCCTTAGGGCTTCTCTCTAGGCTCTTAAAGTCTCACCACCTCTCAGCACCAGAAAGCAAAAGACTAAGACTCTAACCCATGGTCCCTTGGGGCACACACCCAGACAGCATCCTAACCACAGCAGCAAGGCTAGTGCTATTTCCACTGACTAATGTGTACCCCAAAAGCTGTGTGTGCATGTCCTCTCTATTCCTTTACTTCCATGCTTTCAGAAGCCACTCTGGTTGATTTCACCCATACAGGTCTATGAAGACAATTACCATTCACCAGGCTGGCTGGTGGCATCCATGTGGTAAAACCCAAGAGTTCAGGTGGAGGCCTCCCCTTCCCTGACTTCTTAGCAGCACGGCACATGCCTGACCAGTCCATCCTCCCTCCCAGCCCTTTCTTCAGCAGGTAATGAGGACTCCACACCTCCCAGCTTCCTCTTGCCTTACTAGCAGCTGCTACTCACTGTTCTTTGCAGATGTATTAAACATTTCAAGAAAAGATTGAGGCTAAGGGGTAGGGTGTTGATAGCCAAGAGTTTCATGAGGCACAGTAAAAAGCCCTGCAGAAGGGAAGCATACAGGGTAAGAGCTCTGGTAGGGGATTGGACATCATCAGGGGGATTCTTGAGGCTGGCTGGTCCTGGTGGCTTCAGAGCAGAGAGTGAGTGATGGGTTCTAAGCAGAGCCTGCTCTATGGGGCCCTTGGCCCACCACAGGTGAGGAGCCCACTGGAGGGAGAGGTAAAGTATGGAAGAGAGTTGTCCCATCCTCTTCAGGAAGCATGCCTCATGGAAGTGGCAGTGGGAAGTCCCAATGCATACTCTTCATTATCATGTGCCTGATTATTTAACTCTCGTTCATTCCATTCATTGCTTATACCATCCATCACCCCTTCATTGTATTGCCCTTTACCACTTCACACTCAGCCCTGTCCTCCTCTGTCTTCTTCTTTACTCACCTTCAGATCCCTGCCATGGACTCCTGCTGTGATCTCAGGTAGCCTCTTAGCATTCAGATTTCATCTGTGAATTAGGATCAACAAAATCCTATTGTTAGCTGGCCATTATAAAACTAAGATAAAATAAGAACAATAAAAAAGATCATTAGCCAAAAAAAAAGGCACCTTCCCAAGATAGAATATGATAAATATTGTTCCTTTCAGGACCAGGCCAGTTTTGGATGGAGAGATTCATACAGCCAGTGAAATGTTGCATATGTTGTAGCAATCAGGGGCTCATCCACTGATTCACCCTCTGCCATTTTGTCCTCTGTGTTCATTGGAAATAAAAGGCACACGGTACAGTCAAGTGCTATCATAAAGGGAATTGAGAAAATGAATGCTTCAAACTAAGAACTTAGGAGATGCAAAAGAATGTAATCCTTTTGTGTAACTTTTCCATAGGAGACTTGAATGTTCTTATCTAAAGAGTCCTGAGATGTCCAAAAATCATGTCAAAGTGCATTCTACTGATCGTGTAAAACTAATTAGAACAAAAGAGAGAGAGAGAAAATAATGACACAAGTGTACTTGGGAAATATCCACAGATAAATGTACAGGAAATGCATCATAGTATTACCAAAATGTGTTTAGCATTAAGAAACCTAAAAAAGAGATTTAAATCAATGAAGAACTGGAAGACTCTTAGCACGTTGTGATTACCTCTTTACCAAGGGCAACTTGAAACAAAGATTTGATAGGAACTTTATATCAGTAAGCTTTTATCATTTCTATCTAGTTTCAGTTTAGCTTGCAGAAATGGTTGGGTTTTCCTCAGAAATTAGTATTTCTCATGCTGGTGTGCATGCATGTGTGGGAAGGAGAGGAAAAGATGGAGAGACGGAAACAGGTCCGGATGATCAAAATGTAAGTAGAGAGAGGGCTTACGGAAGAGCTTTATTTCATAACACAGTTTTTAATAGCAATATTCTTTAAATGAGTTATGTCTCTCAGGCCGATTTTTAACAATAATTCTTTTAAATAAGAATTTATTACAAGCAAATATTATGCTTGTAACTATCCTTTGGATATCATATACACATTAGGCTAAGAAAGTACATTAATTATTCATAAGACTTCACTTTCATTTCCTCTCAGCCTAACATCTAATACTTAAGCTGTTAATGTGAACAGAATAGATATTGTTCAAACAGTGTGCTTCTGTGACAATATTAAAATAACGGAAGGGTATGGGCTGTCAACCCCTTTTTGACAATAAGCAATAAAGTAGAAGGTCAAAGCAATATCAGTTGTATTCGAATAATCCTTCTGATCGATTCTGGTCTCTTATCAATTGTTTGTTTTCATGCAAAAGTGTCCTTTATGGTTTGTACCTTTCTTTCTCCCTTTATTTCCACAGCCTGTGTCTCAGTGACCATAAAAACCTATAGTATAGGAAATCTCCTCACCACCACTGCAAATGACACAGCTACTGTTCCTGCCTTAACTCACCAGAATTCACCAGCCTCCCCATTAAAAAGTGCCAATAACAGTTCATTTTCTATTCACAAAATCTTTGGCAATCAGTAAAATCTATGTGAGATGTAACAACAAATGACTGAAACAGAAAATCATCTGATTTACATTATAATTCATATGTGAGTAAGGCTTTGTTGATTGATTCCTCTCTGTATTTTCCATAAGCTACAAAATTACTGGTGGTAAGAAGTGTCACTTATGCATGAAAGAATTACCAAGGGGAAAAAAATTCACTCCACTTAAGTAATGTGATATGCCACTTGACTAATTTAAATACCTTGGGATTTAGCTGGGTCCTTCTCCTTCCTCCTTCAAGTGGATTAAAGCATCTCTAAAGCCAGAATCTGGAGAGCATCACACAGCTAGATGAAAAAACCTGATGGGTTTAAAGTCTGTTTGCCGAGTCCTCACCAGAGCTCTATCCTTACTCACCCCTGAATATTTAATCCATGCATATCATAATTGTCCTCCTGAGACTGGTAACATAAGTAATGCATAAAGCATGCCAAACCTCTGCTTTTATGCAAATGAAAGACCCTGCACTTTTACCCCTTCTATTAACTTAATTAGCCTAATTTCTCCAAATACTTGCTTGCTGGCTCCAAGCTGATGAAGATGGGCTCCGTTCTTTCTTTCCTGGATTCTGCCTTCTAAACCGCAAGTAGAGAAAGTAAGAAGAAAAAAAAAAAAAAGACTCAAACGTAGCCCCAGCAAAAGCAAGAAATTGGGAGAAATGTCCCAGGGGGACACTGTTCATGTAATCACAGGACAGAACTATTTAAGGAGAAAGGCAGATTTTCCTTTAACTAATGGAGCTTTGTCATTTTTAAAGGACATCACACTGTGATCTCCTCGTTACATTAGAAAATAACTGTGGCCTGTGCTCTGTGCTATTTTTAGCGTGAAGCATACCATAAAATCTGAAGTTAGGCAATATGATCTTCATGTCTCCCAAGGGTCTCATTAAAATGAGATGTTCCCTTCCAAAGGTTAACTCAGTAAGCAATGTTTAAATTTCTTAATCAGACTGCACGAAGTCACCATGTAAGAAATAGTTTTGAAAACAAATCTGTCCATCAAAGACAGAGGCTTGCAGAGTGTCGGTAAAAATCCCACTGACTTAAAAGGGAGGGGGAAAAATAGTCTTTGAATGAAAGATGTTTAGAATTTTCAATATCCTAATTAAGAAATAAGAAAGGTATCTGTTCAGCTAGAGAGTAGCCATTGAATCAAATTATATAGTCTTTTGAATAAGCCAATACCAACTTTATAACATTTGCCATACAATAAAAGTTGTGAATATAAATCTTCATTTTGAAGCCAGGTTGGGTATTACTGCTTCAAATAGAAAAAAGAAGACTTCTACAAATGAAGTCAGTTCTAAATTAGTCAAAATTGTTCTTATAACTGGCAAATAAGCAAACCTCCACTAAAACAGGGCTCATTTCCCCAATGCTATTAAATATCTTCCATAATTTTTCATTGTTGAAAGCATTCCCAGTGTACCCTCATGAATAAGTCCTTAAAACACCAAATAAATAAAACTGGCCCTATGATGAATGGCAATGTTCCATTTCCTGCAATTGAAATGCAAATTGTTTTATCTAATTGTGGCTGTGTGGGGCTTCTGACCCATCAACCCATCTACATAGTTTTTCTGTATTGAAATGAGCAGCCTGGGTGCCTCCTAACTTTGCAGATGCAAAAAGCTACAAGGCTGAAGGTTACATGATGATGGGGTTATGACTTACAAAGCAAGCCTCCTTCAAACATGCTGACCAAAACTAAAAAGTAGCAGAACAATTGTGTGGAGATATAGCTGTGGAACAGGAGACCGAGCTACACAGATATTTTTCAGAAAGCCAGTATCCTAACGCTTTGTGCCACAAAGTTTGTCTACTTTGCCTAAGATGTTATTCTATTTTTTCTGAAGAAGATCACATCTATATGAAACCATTTCCCAGTTGATTCAGTTTTTAAAAAACTGTCTTGGAACATTGATAGCCCACCCCCCAGATCTAATTACCCATGAACTGACCCAATTCAACAAGAAGGTTGAAAAAAAAATCTATCAACTGAGATTATCTAGACAATGAACCGAGGTTACTAGTCTATCCTGTGAAAGGATGAGCAATCTGAGCCCTGCAAGGCCAATTTCTCTGTGTTTAAGTCACAATTGCTCATGAGTTCTTTGAATGGGTTGATGTGACACCAGAAATTTGTCATAAGAATGATTCAGTTAGAACTGTGATTCCATGGAATAAATTATGTCACAGTAAAATAATGCATGCAAGAATTTCCAAACTGAATGGAATTCTAGTCCCCAAAAGAGGAAACCCAGGAAGGAAGCCATAAGTTTATTCTGGATAAGATAGATACCATTCAATAAGCTCCACTTGAGAGACTCTAGGTTCAACTAAGAGATTTAATTGGTAGTGACAGACCATCAACAAATGTATTTATTAGGTCATATCTAGGGTCATTTCTGCCATTTTTTATGGTGCATGCCATAGATTAAATGTTTGAGCCCCCTTTGTTGAAACCCTAAATACCAAGGTGATGGTATTAGGAGATGGGGCTTTGGGGGTGATCAAGTCATGAGTTGGAGTTCTCATGAATGAGATTAGTGCCTTCTTTCTCCTATCATATGAGGACACAGAACCAGGAAGTGGGTCTTTGCCAGATAGCAAACCCACTGGTTCTTTTTTCTTAGATTTCAAGCCTCTAGAACTGGGAGAACTACATGCCTGTTGTGCATAAGCCACCCAAGACTTTGGCACTTTTTAATATCAGCCCAAATGGTCAAAGAGAACTTCTGTGTTTATCTAAAAAGAAAACTTCCATTTTAGTAAGGAAATAGAATATATATGTAGATTCTTATATCAAAAAACAAAACAAAACAATATATATATATATATATATATATATATATATATATATATATATATATATATATGTGCTTTGAAAAGTTAGACAAGATTAATTCAGTCCACATGCATAGATTTGCTGCCCAGTATGTGACAGCTATTGCACAGATTGGAAAGTATGAATTTTGACACATTTCATATCAAACTATCTCCCAAGTTCCCTGGGGTCGGTACATTAATGAATTGAATTACTAATTGCATATGGCCACTCACTTGCTCTATACCACCCACCATTGCTGAATATAGAGGTCATATGGAATTCACATAAGGTGGCATGCTGTGGGTCAGCATGAAGTCCGAGCTTCATGATGAAGGACCAGATCGGACTTAACACAGTAACCAACAGCATAAATTATATGTGATTCTATCAGTAATTCAGGAATATGTAGCTGTTCTGGGAAACAACACCCAGCCCATGGATTTAGACCAGAAATATCATACTCCACCTCACCAAATTGCCTTTAAAGTAGATTTTAATACAATTGGAATGTTTCTGCTTTTACAAAACATCAGATCACAAAGTTTAAGCCCTCTCTTTAGAAAAGGAAGGAAAAATCTTCAATTCTTACACTCTCAAGGTCAAACAGATGGCACAAAGGCACAATGCATTACTGAAATAAAAAAGATTTAACACTAGAAAAGAGAGAAACACAGCATGGATTAAATGTTGTTCGCACCAGGTAAGCCAAGAAAATCTTTTGTCTCACTTAGAAGTCTTAGGATTTCATTAGTTCTAATCCTTGTTTTGTGTCACCCCCACCTCCTTCCTCATGGATGAATCTGTCCATGTCTGTTTTATATACATCATTGTTAGTGCTCTGATATAAGCAGGATAGATTTTTCCCTATTCTAAAATTTTACATGTGATATGTATTTACCAATCTCCTGCAGTAGTTTCAGGCCCGTCTACCACGTGTTGACTGCTTGTTTCAGATACTGTCAGTACAGCCTTGCCATGCACACTCCACAATGTCTCTGGTAGCCCAGGGACAACTCATTCGATATCCTGTTCAAGGAAGAACACGTTGGTCACAGATATTGTCAGCCACTGGATCCTTACAAGCAAAAAATGACTTCAAGCGCTTGGGTGACAGACCAGACTTCCAGCCACAGCACATCATCCAACATGAGCCATGTGGTACCATGAGCTATGGAAGAGGCTGGGAGACCTCAGCTTTATAAATCCCAGGAGGGACAGAACTTTGAGGTGGAGGACAGTACCAGTCACATCTACAACCCTCTCCTCTAGAATTGCAGTTAATTTGTACAAGAAGAATGACTGGAAATAGAAATTTGGCTGATAAGGAAGAATGCATGAGACTTCTCAAGTTCTTGGAGAAACATCTTAAATGCATGACATTTTTACAAAATTAGGATGTTTTTCAACACCCTGCACCCTAAGCATTGAAGCATGCTAAGAATGTTGATTTAGAAATTAATAAATACTTAGTGAAATCAGCACCAGTAAACATGGATTCCCTTTTAAGTCATGGCCAGATATGGTAGGAACTTCCCAAACAGCTATGTGCAGATTGATAAAGAGGAGGCATGAACCATTTAAAAGGACCCCTGGTCATCCCCTACATACATATCTATTCCTCCATCTTGTCAAGTTGGTAGTACATATGGTGAATTTCAACTCCGTTACCTAAAAGTCCTACAGTTTTCCTCTGCAAAAAAAAAAGTCTTTTATTTTTATTTTATTACCCTTCACTTAAGTATTTCCAACTGCTAATATCAGAATTCAAGTGAAGCCACTAAACACAGAGAAGAAAAGATCAACTTAGGGAAATCGATTTTTGTTTATGTGTCTATATTTTCATTTCTCAAATGGCCACAGAAAGTAAATATTGTTAGCACTAGGAAAATCCAATAGAGCTTCAGCTCTTGTTCTTGGCACACTTCTGACTCAGCAGGTACCATTTTCTGCACACCCCCAGTTCAAATCTATGAAAACCAAAGATGAACACACACCTACAAACACAGGCACTTCTGGTCCACTTCTTGCTGTTGGAGAAAAGCCACATCTTTCACTTCCATGTACTTCTCAGGCCTCCATAAAAATAATGACAATTCCCAGTTTTTACAATTTATGAAAGACAGTACATTTTGACGGTGTTTTCTGTCTATCATGTTGGATTTTTTTGAGATAGTTTTATAAAAAGAATATCAATATCCTTAACTTTTGTGCAGAAAACTAGTGTTTCAGGGTATCTGAGTTGGAAATTCACCAAGTACATCTACCAAGTTGACAACTAGTAGGTGTGGAGATAGGTGAGGGAAGTTCTCTGGGGGAGAACTGAATCAAACTGAGATGAACACAGCAAGAGACCAAGTGTCAATTCTAGAACAACTTTTTAGTGCTGGGAGGATTCCTAGTTGATCCTCTGGGGATGTTGTCACAGCCTGGTGATTTGACAGATTCATAATTTATAAAAGATTTGGAGAGTCAATTGAGGAGAAAACTGGGAATTGCAATTCCTCTCTGACCTCCCATCATGTATCCCTGAAGAGCCGTGGTCACATGCAGCTTCAGAGCTAAGGTGAAATTTCATCAGAAAACAGAAAGATGGAGAAAGTTCAGTAAACAAAGCCAAAAGGTTCACTTCAAACTTGAACTAGGATGAAAGTCCTCAGATGCAAGCTCAGGCACAAATCTTGTCTGTGGTCAAGGGTATAGTTTGGACTGAGGTTCAACAGTTGCAACGGGTACAGTATTGAGGGCTGTCCTCTTTTTTTTTTTTTTTTTTTTTTTAGGAGTTTTAACTTTCAGGTCTCAAAAAAAGATGCATGAGATCTGCTGAAGCACATGATTGATAATGTGAAGGTGTAGGTGTTGATTTAAAAAATCGTGACATTGTGATACTGAAACATCTGTTTTATCTGAGTTCTTTGTCACACGAAAAAAAACACAAGAATCCTCATAATATGCACAGAATAGTGTTTCCTCTCAGGTTAGAACATTTAGCTCATCCATTGATGCAGTGTAAGTTAAGCTTCTTCTACACAGGCTTGTGCTGGGTGCCGGAGGGTGCCACCTAATAAGGCGGCAGACAGACTCAAGAGATAAACTCACAAGTAATAGACCAGGTTTTAGAGACTTAAAGTCCATGAGCCTTGGTTTCATTGTTTGGGGAAGGGGGCAAGAATAACAATCTGAGTATCTACCTCTGAGGACGATGCAGGTGGAATACGATGAGCAGATGGCCTGGCACAGAACAAGCAATCCATATTGGTGTTTTACTGCCAGGAAGAGTTTCAGTGGAGGGCCTTTGATCATGCTGTATCTGGTGGGGTATGGGTAGGTGAACTTGAGTGGGCAGCAGAGTTTGACAGGAGGAGCTTGTGGTCTGTCTGGGGTAGTTCAACAGAGTGAGAAGAAAGTAGCAATCCCATCTGAAAGGGGAGGGTTGACAAAGAAACAGAAGGGTCAGACAGAGAGCTGGGGAGAAGAAGGGCTGATGTAAATGTGTCAATTCCCCAGTGATAGGGGACAAACAGACATGTTCAAAAATGTGGTCTTTTAAACAGTAATTTATAAGCTCTCTCCTCTTTGCTTTAAATCCAACACCTCTGCATTAGTGAGCTTTCCGTTACTGTAACAAATACCTGAAGGAGGAAAGGTATACTTAGATTCACAGTTTTAAGAGTTCTAGTCCAAGGTTGCTTGGCCCCATAGCTTTTGGCCCTGTGACAAGGAAGCGCATCACAGTGGGGAGTAGAGAAGGGAGCAATGCTGTTCACCTGTGGCCACCAGGAAGTGAATGAGAGGAAAAAGAGGGGCTGGGGTCTCAATGATCTCCAAAAGTATACCCCCAATGGCCCAACTTCCTTCCACTGGCCTCACCCCCTCAGGGTCCACTACGTTTCAATAACACCATGAGCCGGAACCAAGCCTTCAACACATGGAACCTCTGGGGAACATTAAGATCCAAACTCTAGAATCCTCCCTATCCCCCCTCCTCCAGCTCTCAGATGTCAACTCCCTGCTTATGGTCTGTGCAGTCTGAGTGTTGTGTGATTGTGTGTGTGTGTGTGTGTATGTGTTGTATTTCATCCACTTTACGTTGTTGTCAATTCTGTTTGAAAAGCTGCAAGAGGGTACTTGAGCTTCTAACAGCAGTTTCTACCTGAGCCTTTACTTTGTTGGAAGCTCCCTCTTACTGCTTCCCAGGGTGGTTTGCCCCAAGGTCACCGGGCACTGGGTGGGGATGTCGTCCTGCTCCTCGGCATTGATGCTGACATGCTGGAGGTGTTGTTGAGAATTTAGTAGTAGGATGAATTAGTTTTGATTGTCATTGAAAAGGATTGCATCATATTGCTTTGGTAATTATCTCAGTTCATTCAGGCTGCAGCAACAAGATATCATTAACAAGGGACTTATAAACAACAACCATTTATTTATCACAGTTTTGGAAACTGGGAAGTCCAAGATCAAAATGCCAGGTATTTTGGTTTCTGGGGAGACTTCCCTTCTGAGTTGTAGACATCCACCTTTTTCTTCCTCATGTGACAAAAAGACGGCCAGAGTTCTCTCTAGATCTTCTTTTATAAGGGCACCAATCTCACTCCTGAGAGTTCCACTCTTGAGATCTAATTGCCTCCTGAAGGCCTCAGCTCCTAAGCACAATCATCAAGTGTTAAGATTTGAACATACGAATGAGGGCAGGAAGCACACAGAAACATCCATCCCAGAGCAGTAATGTACAGGCTTACATAAATTTTTATATAGCACTAAGCTATTCAGGGGATAAAGTCCTATAGAACTCTCCCTGCCTGAGAGGAAGTGTTCTGCATCCATGGACCCCTCCCAGGTAGGCAGGGGCAGCTTGGAATACTGAT